CTGTGGGGGCAGGGGGCAGACAGAGGCTGAGGGAGTTGTTAAAAATGCTGTTTCCTGGGGTCCAGAGATTCTGATGTAGCAAGTCAGGTGCGGGACCCAGAGTTCTGCAATGTTAACAGGCTCCCAGGGGCTTCTGATGCAAAGGATACCCCACCTATATTGGGGGAAATTCATTTTAAGACACTTTATAACTTTCATCACTCTCTGCCATGTGGCTTATGCTATGGTGTTTGTCCTGTCGTCCCAATGAGACCACAGGTGGCAAGACCTAAGTGCTGCATACAAATTAAGCCTGACATCTAAGCTACAGAGATTCCTTTTCCATTCTTTACTTTTTCAGTTTTGTTGAGATACAATTGACAAACAAAATTGTATATAATTAAGGTATACAACTTGATGTTTTGATATATGTATACATTGTAAAATTATTACAGTCAAGCTAATTAACACATCCATTACTCACATAGTTACCATTTTCTTTTTGTTTTTGTTGTGCTTTCTTTTTTCATCTCTCCTGGCACATAACATCAAGTTACAATGGGTAAAAAAAAAAAGCCGATGAGCAGAAGATTATTAGAAAAATAATTAATAGAAAAATTACATGCTTTTTTCCAAAGGTGAGAGAAGTTAAACAAATGAATTTTGAGGACAATGAAGGAATTAAGGTCAGGGGCAGCAAAAGCGTCCTCTGGGTTACCATGTCCCTAAAAGATGCTAAACTCCCATTCAAAGCAACAGGCCAGGAGTAGCTAAGCCTCAGTTAGGCACATTAAACATGCCTTAGGGCAGGTACTGCTCTGAGCTGAGTGTCCAAAGGTGTAAGGGTGAAATTCAGTAAGTCAATAACGCAGCTAAACTTAAGCTAGTTTGCACTATGGCTCACCACATAGCTCACTATCTAGCTGCCTGTAATTCAGCTTAGCTAGTTTACAGTTTGATCCATCCTGATCTTCAGCTGTTTCTTCTTTGTTTCTCCCCTCACTGATTAACTGAAGAACTCTGCTTCCTTTCTCAAGGCTACTAGTACCTCGATAATTAACATCTTAACCTGAAAAGAGCAGCTTCTTTAATCCTCAGGCACCTGGATGTCAGGGATCCGGTGATCATAACTCCCTAGCAGTTTTTCACTGATAACTTTCCTGCTATGGGCAATAAAATCTAAGATAACATTGAGGCAGATCTGAGGCCTTGGAAGACCCCAGGAGACTACTTCTCAGCTATTAGCCCTGAGGCCTGCTTTCCTTTGTTCTTTCCCATTTACCCCTCCATAAAACCTCTTAATCATTGTTGGCTCGGGGAAGGTAGTTTTTTGGACATGCATCTGCCATCTTCCCTAGCTGCCGGCATCTAGAAGAAAGGACCCTTTTCTCCACACCAATGCTTGTCACCCGAGTTTTTGGGCTCGTCGGGCAGCAAGCGGCACTGAACCTGAGTTTGGTAATAAAGGCACTTTGATGACACTTGAGAACTTCTAACATTTCAAAATTGATGTGCCACCAGAATCACATAAAGGCCTGAATGGGCCTGAAATTGGCAGAAAATCTCTTGGAAACTTGAGAAAGGGGGGAGAATGTCTGTAGACTTGTAAATTCCAAGAGTTCTCTATGCTGCCCAAATTTATAGTATGTGATGGTTAATTCTAATCTGTCCACTTGATTGTTTCACAATATGTCCAGATTAAACATCATTTCTGGGTGTGTCTGTGAGGATGTTTCCAGATGAGATGAGCCTTTGAATTGATAGACTGAGTAAAACAAGTTGCCTTCCCCAGGGTACCTGGGCATCATCCAATCTGTTGAGAGCCTGAAGAGAACCAAAAGGTAGGAAGAAGGGAGAATTCACTCTCTGCCTGACCGCTTCAGCTGGGACATCAGTCTTCTGCTCTCAGAATGGAACTTACACCATTGATTCTGCTGCTTCTCAGGCCTTTGGACCAGGACTGAACTATACCACCATCTGCTTTGGGTCTCTAGCTTGCAGATGACAGATTGTGAGACTTCTCAGCCTCCATAATCGTGTGAGCCATTCCTTATGGTAAATCTTTTACTATGTACCCTATTGGTTCTGTTTCTCTAAAGAGCTCTAATACACAGACCCAAAGTAAAGGAAGAATTTGGAATACCAAGAGCTCACTGAATGAAAGAGCATAAGAACAGGTCTGGTCAGCATATTCTTGGGGTGTGAAGATAGAAAAATTTCCATGAAGGAGAAATAATGAAAAACACATTGTTCCTGTTTTTATATATTTTTATATATTTACTATATTTAATATTATATATGTATATATTATATATGTTTAATATATTTAATATTATATATAGATAGATCACATATATCACAGACTATATATATGCACACACGTACACACACACACATCTACCTCTAAGAAAATTTGGCATAAGATTCACCAACATGTTAATGGTGATTATTTATGAATGCTGGCATTATAGGTGATATTTATTTTCTTCTCTATACTTTTTCTGTATTGTCTTATTTTTTAAAGTTATTTATATAATGTTATAAAATCAGAGACATAGAGGAAGAACCGAGGGTTGTTAGTTGGGAGGGGGTGGGGATGAAGGAGAAGGGGAAGGGATGAGACAATACAAATTAGTAATGGTAACACGGCCTCAGGGATAGAAAAAGACAGTCCGAGGAATATAATCTATAATGTTGTAAGTATTTATTAGGGGGCCAGATGGACCCATGTCCTTTTGTGGTGTCCACTTCATAGTCAATGTAGAGGCCTGACCACTGCATTATATTTCTGAAACTGATGTTGAATAATACTGTATGTCAACTATAATTATATATATACATGTAGTCTCGGGACATGGAGTAGAGAGCGGGAACGGATTCAATGGAATTGTAATAGATAAGCATGATATCGGGGGTGGGAGGGCAATAGATGGGGGAAGGGGGGTTGTTACCTGGTGAGGGTGAAAAAGGGTAACTATTGTATTGTTCTGTACACCTGAAACTAACAATAAAAAAATAAGAAAAGAATTTTAAAAAAAGAAAAAAATGTTTTTTCTTTTTTTTAGAAAATGGAGTAAAAATCAGTCACTAGTGCTCTTACAAAACTAGCAACAGAAAATGTCTACAGTTAATGACTCTTAGAAGGAAGAAGAGTTAATATAAGATTAGATAGGGACACCTTACATGTGGGTAAACTTGCTTTGCCAGGTCTCTACTTACTGTGTGTGGGCTAGGATTTTTTTGATTTGTCTAAGGTATTCAGCACAGATTGAGAGGACAATCACAACACTAAGAACATATTTTGAATTAATTGCCTCTAAAAATTTGCCTAAATACGAAAAGCCAAAGAAACGTGGATTAAAAAACACCAACAACCAACCCTAATGCCTTCATATCCATCCATGTCTAGTTACAACAATACATCTAACTGGTCTCAATAATTCAGTAATATTTACAAGAAAGCTCTACAGCTCCTTCACAGGCCATCATGGCCTCCCCAAGGCATTCAATTTTCTTTATTAAGCTTGATGTTTCAGACAAAAATCTAACAAAATTTGAAAACAAAATGTATCTTTTGACCCAAAAGTTTAACTTCTAGGAACTCACCCTATAGATCTTTATATACTTTGCCAAAGGTACACATATAAGATGTTTACTGCAGAATTGCTTATAATAGGAAGGAACTAGAAACAATGCACATGAACTCCAATAGGAGGTAGATGATACAAACTGAAGTGCATCCAGAGTTTGTATATAGTATATACAGGATTTACATAAGGCGCATAAGAATCACAGAGGTTAATCTGCCTTGGATAATCCCAACAATATTTAAATTGGTAGAATCAGCAGAGGCAGAGAGAGATCCAAAGCAGAGTTATGGATGGTATGCTCCAGATCTCCAGGGAGAAGAAGCTATGGTTAACATTTTCATCCACCATTTGAATGCATCCTTTCTTTAAAAATTAAATAATCAGGGATCACTTGGAAGCTAAAAAGAGAAGTGGTCAGGGGGGAGGGGTTAAGGGAGCCGAGCTCTGTTGGGTAATATATTTTAACCACAGATGAGTAAGATGAAAAATAGTGACAAAACTGTCCCCTATGATTGTTGTCCATGCTACCTATGAAGTCCCTTCTTGATTTTTCATACCAGCTACTGCTCATGTCATCATTATGGAGCAAATTCACTGAAGAGTGAAATTTAGTTTTTTGAAACCAAATGTATAGAGATGTTTAAAAACTGTCCATGCACAAAATGAAAGGAGCATACAGTACAAACGCATATAGAACATTGGGTGAATAGTGAAACCGTTTTTCAGCAGAGGTGGGGGAAGATGACAAGACTATACCAGTCAGGGAAACTTAGAGGTTATGATGACTTGACCTTTTCATTAGTGACTGGGCCAACTCAGGAAAGAAGACATGAACGAAAGCAGAGAGCAGATTAAGGAAAAGGATATGATTCCTTCTTCAAAAAGTAACTTATTTTGAGTATTGCACATGCCCTATTTATAGCTACTATATTTTGAAATATCTATGTTCAAGCCAGAGCCATTTAATTCCTCCCTCTGTGCCAAAGGGCAGTGTTCCCTTTGGGCTCTCTTCAAGAACAAAGTTGATAGTATTTCAGAGGATATCATAATGAATTGATTGATTCTAAAATAAAGTCACAGTATGCAATCGCTGAAAATGTACTGCATTAGAGGAACTTGGGAATTCACCTTCTAAATATCTGGTAAGGCTGAATTTCCCCGTAACGTCTACAAATTCACCAATTTCTCTTTCACTGCAGTTTAATAGGCCTTGCTCTAGGTCTTTGTGTTACTCTTGAATTTTTCATACAGTGGATGTAAAACTTCTAGACATCTGTAAGAAGCCTACAAGTAGAAGAACTCCACTGTAATGCAACTGACACTAGACCCTTGCAATGCAACTTTATCCCGTCCTCCACTTGCAGCACCTCAACACATATAGTGGTTCAACAAGTGAAAAGTTTCCATACAGAGAGTCAAGAAATCACTCACCACGGAATAATAATTCTTGGTAAGTGGAGTAGTTTCAAATCCTTTGACAGCCTTGGGGGAGAGAGGTCTCTCTGTGAAAAAGACATTTATGTTATGTTAGTATCATACAAGTCTAAGAGGAACATTTTCTAACATGGTTCACCTAACATATTATAAATATTGTCAAGTGGAAGGATCAATGGAAATGTACATTCCTAAACAAGAAACTGTAATTTTACCAAACTATACATAGTTAATTGTCTTGTCCAGGCCCCTCAATTTCTGAGGGGGTGAAAAAGCCAAGGAGCTAAGGTCTAGCTACTTAATGGCAGGGCTGGGGCAAAAATTTCACTTCCATTTTGGGCTTGTTTCTTTACTCCAGTCAGCCTCTGCATTCAACTTATTCAAAACAGATAAGCAAAGCCAAAGCTAATCAGATACACACACACACACACACACACACACACACACACACACACACACACACATATATACATATATATATATTTTTTTTGTAAATTGCAACTTACTCTACAAGTATAATATAAATAATAGCAACCATTCTTTCTTAGGACTGTCTACTGTGCCAAAAACAAAATAATCAGAATCTTTAATACACTGAAAACTGTGAGAAAATTCTTCTCTTTTATGTATCATTTTAATATTAACACATTAGGCTGGAAAATGTTGCCTTTTTTCTACAAAGTTAATTTGACCTATTAAACTCATGACTAAGAGACATCCTAGTACATTCTTTCTTTAAAAAAGAAAACCAGTTGATAAAAATACAAGACATTGATCATAAATGTTTAATAGTGTCACTACATACTATGTTTCTATCCTCATTTTCTGCTTTGCTCCATTTTGTTTTATATTCCATTTTTATCTTGCTATACTGTATACTGCTTTAAACTCTTTCTGAAGTATGGTGGAGTATAAATAACCGAATAATAATATATCATGAGACCCTGATTTTTCTTTTTTAAAAATAGTATTTTCTAGTTTTAAATCTATTACATGTTCACCCTAAATAATGCAAAATAGGGCAGCCGGGTGGCTCAGTTGGTTAGAGTGCATGCTCTGAACAACAAGGTTGCTGGTTCAATTCCCACATGGGCCAGTGAGCTGCACCCTATGCAACTAGATTAAAGACAACGACTTGAGCTGAGCTGCCGCTAAGCTGCCGGTGGGCAGCCGGAGGGCTCAGCTGGTGAGAGCGCGTGCTCTTAACAACAAGGTTGCCGGTTCACCTCCTGCATGGGATGGTGGACTGTGCCCCCTGCAACTACATAGATTGAAAACGGTGACTGGGCTTGGAGCTGAGCTGTGCCCTCTACCCAGAGCTAACCATAATCCAGAATACCATTTTGAAGTGTGTCATCCCATTCTTTTTTTTTTTTAAGGTTTTACTGGGGAATTGGGGGAGGGGAACAGCGTTGGGGAATCAGGGAAGGGGAACAGACAAGTTGCTGTTCTTTTTTTCTTCAGTCTAGTTGTGGAGGATGTCGCTTCACTGGTCCATGTTGGTATTGTTATCATTGCCCTCTTCCTGGGTGAGGCAGTCGCTCGCCAGACACTAGACAGCCACTCATGACGGCTCACGACAGCTCACAGTAGCTCACGGCAGCCAACTGCAGCCTACGCCGTTGCCGGTTGCTCACGGTAGCCCAGCTCCAGGTCGAGCTGTTGTTCACCATCTTAGCTGTAGAGGGCGCAGTGTCACTGGTCCTCATGTGGGATCCGAACTGGGGCCCTGCTCTTCAGAGCTGGCTTCTCAAGCCAGCTCTTAACCAACGTGCCATTCGTCCGGCCTGATCCCATTCTTTTTATGTATGTGTTTGTGAACATACACACGGATCTTTCTTATGTTACGTACAGGTTTGAAATTATATTACAACATTCTTTCATGAATAATTTCCCATTTAACCTTGATTTCTAATTATTATTATATCTAAAATATCCCTCATGTTTATTTGGCACTTAATAACTTTTAAGACATTTTATTTGACCTTCACAACAACCCTGTCAGGCAGAAATGATCTTATTTTGCAGAGGAGGTTACTAAGCTTCAGGAAGGTGATGTCAGCTGCCTAATGGCATGCATCCGGGAAATGGCAGGGCCAAGACTGACACTCAGGTATGCCTTGACAAGGGCCTGTGCTTATAACCAATATGATATCCAGAAATAAGGCTACCGAAGGTCTCGGTTGATGGCATGGGTAGTGGTTCCTACTGGAGTTCAGAGGAACCATCAGTTTGACCTGGGATGGTCAGAGAAGATCTTGCTGGACAGGGGGGTACATGATCAGGCCCTGGAGGGTGGCTAGAATTCAAACAGGCAGAGAAGACAGTAATTTTCTAGTCAGGGAAGATTCCAGAAGCACAGCTGTAGAAATGGCAATGCTCAAAGCAGGGCTGTTCCTGTGACAGTGAGTTGTCCAGCTGTGCCAAGCTGAGAATAGCAGAAACAAAGAAAAGGCAGCAATGAGGGCCAATTCTGTCACTTCCCTGTGATGACAAGTGATGTATTGACAGTTTCAGGAGGCTTTATGATATTTCAAGATCTGCCTGGATTCACCTGGTGTTTTCACAAGACTGTCCTGGGTGACCCTGAGCAACGTAGAACCACTTAGCCTATTACTTAAGATTGTAAGTTGGCAGAGCTAGGACTTGAACCCAAGCATTGTATTGCCAAGCCTGGTGTTCTTTACAGTACATCACAGTTTTGCACTCTTAGACATATTCAAAATTGATCATTGCCAAATTCTTTTAGTTTTTTTAATTAGGCAAGTTTTCTACAATGTAGTTATAATGGTTCTACTTAGAACTCAGTTGTTTTGTGGAATTATGATGTAAACCAGTCTTGATAAAAATAAGTTTCTAGAGATACCAGCAAGATGTGGACACCTTTCTAAAGCAAGGCCTAAAGAAAGGGTAAACAGTAATGAAGAGCCTGCCAAGACATAGAAGAGGAAAGGCCATAGAAATGGGTCATTGTAATTGAAATAAAATGTTAACTACGTAAAGTAGAACTGAGAAACATGAATTGAAAAGAAAGAAGTGGCTGCCTTGAAGATTACTGGGTACTTGAACGTGATGCATAAAGAGCTGGTGCTTTGAGAAGACTGATAAAATTGTACAACTTTTAGCAAGACTGACAGAGAAAAAAAGTGAGAAGACACAAATTACCAATATCAGGAGTGAAACGGGATATTACTACAGACCCTGAAGATTACAAAAAATAAAAGAACACTATAAAGAACTCTACACATATAAATTTGATAATTAGATGTGAAATGAACCAATTCCACAGAAAATAAAAACTACCACAACTCAGCCAATATAAAATAGACCTTTTGAATAGTCTATTATAACTACTAAGGAAATTGAATTTATAAATTTAAAACTGTGGAAATAGAAATTTCCACATCCATATAGTTTCACTGGAGAATTCTATCAAAATGTTTAAGGGAGCAGCAATACCAATTCTTCACAATCTCTTGTAGAAAATAAAAGAGGGACCACTTTCCAACTCATTTTACAAAGTCACTCTTACATGGACACCAAACCAAAGATAGCACAAAAAAAGAAAACTGCAGACCAAATATCCTTCATGAATGTAGATGCAAAAAAAACCTTAACAAAGTATTAGCAAATAGAATTCAGTAATATTTTAAGAGAATTGTATACCATGGAATTCATCCCAGGGGTGAAAGTTTGGTTAAATATTTAAAAAAATCAATCAATGTAACCCATGATAACAGTCTAAACAGAAAAATCACATGATGATATCAATCGATACAGAAAAAGCACTTGGCAAAACTGAACGCCCATCCAAGAAAAAAAAAAAACTTCCAGAAAACACAGGAATTAAGAGGAACTTCTTCAACTCAATAAAGAGCATCTGTGAAAACCTATAGCTAGCATCTTACATAATGGTGAAAGACCGAATGCAGAATGCTTTGCCCTTGAGATCAGGAACAAGGCAAGGAAGTCTACTCTCACCACTCTTTCTTTTTTAGATTTATTTTTCAGTTGCAGTTGACATACAATATTGTATTACCGTATTTCCCCATGTATAAGACGCTCCCACATATAAGACGCACCTTAATTTGGGAGCACGAAATTTTTTTTTTTACATTTTTTTTTTATTGGGGAATTGGGAGATGGGAACAGCGTTGGGGAATTGGGGGAAGGGGAACAGACAAGTTGCTGTCCTTTTGTTCTTCAGTCTAGTTGTGGAGGACGTGGCTTCACTGGCCCAAGTTGGCACCATCATCGCGCTCTTCCCGGCTGAGGCAGATCAGTCGCTGGCTTCTGGACGGCCACTCATGGAGGCTGCTGGCTGCTGGCTACATACGGTAGCCCATGGCAACCAACTGCAGCAGGGGCTGCAGCATATGCCATTGCCAGCAACTCACGGCAGCCCAGCTGCAGGTTGAGCTGTTGTTCAGCATCTTAGCTGTGGAGGGCAGTGTCACTGACCCTCATGTGGGATCCGAACCGAGGCCCTCTGGCATCCCAAGCCAGCTCTTAACCAACGGGCCACTCGGCTGGCCAAGGGGCCCGAAATTTTAAAAAAATGTATTACATAAAGTTATTGAACTCAAGTTTTATTCATCATAAAAGTCATACAACTCCTCATCACTTGTGGGAAATGCAAGTAAAAAACCCTACAACCAAGGGCCGGCCGAATGGCTCAGTTGGTTAAGAGCTCGCTCAAGAGTTTGAGCTCTGAGCAACAGTGGTTCGAGTCCAGCCTGAGCTGAGCAGCCGCTGAGCTGCCAACAGGTAGCAGGATGGCTCAGCTAAAAAACAAACAAACAAACAAACAAAAACCCTACAACCACTGTATAAGACGCACCCAGTTTTTAGACCCCAAATTTTTCAAAAAAAGTGCGTCTTATACATGGGGAAATACGGTAGTTTCAGGTGTGCAATATAGTGATTAGAAATTTATATCACTTCTGAAGTGATCACCCCAATAAGTCTAGTAACCACCTAACCACTCTTATTCAGCATAGTGCTGGAAGTTCTAGCTCTCCCTGAAGGCCTGATGTAGGATGGGTGATCAAAACACAAAGAGTAGAAT